TCCCTATGGTAATTGATATGCCTGCTCATGTTCTTTGTTTTTCTCTCGTTCTTTCTTTTTACTTTATTTACATATTTAATCAATCAATCAATCTATCTATCAAATCTTTATATCTATCTATCTAGCTATCTTGAAATCAAAATTGTTCACCACTCTTTCAATTTTTTTGTTCTTTTTGTAAGTATTTCCCAAATGATGTTTAACAGAGCAATACATTTTTTTCACAGTGTGTCTGATAATATTTTTTTTTCTGGAGAAAGTCTTATTTGTTTTATTTCGGCTATAGAATAAAAGCATTTTTAAATTTTTTAAAAACAATTTTAAGGTCAAAACTATTAGCCCCTTTAAGCATTTTTTCTCCTTAGTCTACAGAACAAACCATCATTATACAATGACTTGCCTAATTACCCTAACCTGCCTAGTTAAAGTTTAAATGTCACTTTAAGCTGTATAAAAGTGTCTTGAAAATGTCTAGTAAAACATTGTGCTGCCATCCTGGCAAAAATAAAATTAAATCAGTTATTAGAAATGAGTTATTAAAACCATTATGATTAGAAATGTGTTGAAAAAAATCTTCTCTTCATTAAACAGAAAATGGGGGGCGGGAAATAAACAGGGGGGGGGGGGGGGGTAATTCAGACTTCAACTGTATCTCAGGTAATTTCCTTGATTCGTTCAGTCCTTCTCAGTTATAAGACGTTTTTTTACAAAAATAGTTGAACCAAATATCAAAGTTAAAGGATATAATTTTTTTGTATTGTTTTTTGTTTGGGAAAAAAACTTCTAAAATATACTCTTAAAGAATTAAACTCTCACAGCCTTCATCACATTTCTTCAATCAAATATACAAAATCATTAAATCTCTTAGACTGCAGTTAAAAGCAAACAAAGAAAATGTGATCGATTTGTGGAATATTACGGAAAGTATTTTGGTAATGTCTTTATTGCATAAACCTTTCCTTTACAGTAATTTATCTTATTTTTTCTTTATGTATGTGATTATTTTAGATCTATTTGAATTTATGTTTTGTTCTCTGAATGCTATGACTTCTATATACACCTCAGATAAAAACAATGCTCAGACATTCTGTGGAGCTCGAACAGAAAAGCTTGAGACACCAGACCCACATCCATTCACTTCCTTATCCACCTTATCTCTTCATTTTTCACAACTTGTTTCACATGTGGGAATTCCTGTAGTCCACTGTGCGCGTCTGGAGACTAGAACCTTCATGACACATGTATATTCTTTCAAACAGTCATGAACTTACTCTGATCCATTGTGTGATAAGATGACCTTGAAATGTTCACGATTGAATTCTCACATTGAGATGCTTTTCATGTTGAAATGCATGACTTGAAGCAATAGTTCACCCAAAAATGAAAATTCTGTCCTCATTTACTCACACTCTTTTCCAACCTTTATAAGTTTTTTTTATTCTGTTGAACACAAAAGAAAATAGTTTGAAGAAAGTTTAAAAGCTGTGACCGTTGACTTCTATAGTATTTGTTTTTCTTACAAGTCAATGGTTACAGGCTTTCAAAACTGTCTAAACCGGTTTATCTCTTCCCTCTCTTCGTTTTTATTTTCAGTCTATTCCAATTACAGGATGGCTTGATGGTTCAGCTAAACATATGGAGACCAGAGTGAAGCTAAATCATCTTTTGTTTGTTACTTCCTTCTAGTCTGACATGGATTCAGTGCAGTGCTTAACTTTGCACTTTTTTTTGCTTTGTCTATCTGCTTATCTGCCCTCATGACCTTATCTGCTCTTGCAAACCACACCTCAGAATCGCACATTTGCCAGCAGATCAATCTGGAGTCATAATGCTGTGTGTGTGTGTGTGTGTGTGTAGATTTGATTAGGACACAAGGCCAACTATTATCCATATTTCTTTCTTCTCCAAATCCACTCCAGATGCGATATGAATTTTATAGAACAGACCTGATTCCTGAACGCACACTTCTATAGAAACACACACAGCAACACATTATGTTAGATATTGTCTAAGGAATCTTTTTGTGAAGCTGAAATGGAATCAGGACTGTAAACACCAATGAAGTGGACAAGTAAACATACAATCCCCCTCTTTAGTGTACTGCTCTGCTGCAATCCACTAGATTGTGCAAAAAAAAAAACTTAAGTGCCAAATCAATCACTACATTAAGACAACTGTTTTACGATAGAGAAGTTAAATGACAAACAATTTTAAACAAATTATAATCCCCCCACTAATTTCAGTTTTGAACTGAAAATCAGGTGTAATTACATCTCATTATTCAACCCCCAATAAATCATGAGTGATGATGAAATGTTACACAATTTCATAGGAGCTGTAGATTGTATAATGATCTACATTTCTAGTTAAATATATTAGGGCTGCACAATATCCTTTCATCATCGATATCACAATGTGTGCAACTGCAAGAATTGCATCACAAAATATGCATTGTAGAGTCTGAATTATAGTTAGCAGGGAGCTACAGAACTGAGTCACTGCTAAGCTTAACCATAATAGAGTGAAGGTTTGAGGCCCACCGTAACGGTTTCCCCGCCCACCGAATTGATTGACAGCTGCATATTAACTTGTCTTCATAGTTACGCATATAATCATATCAACAAAACAGGACGTGCGCAAAGCAACCGGGAATAAAAGATCGGTTGAGCTCGCTGTGATAATTAATCATCATCAAATGTGATCAAGAATAGGTTTTACAAGTTTAAAACATTTTTAAAACAACAAATGTTTTGTAATGCATTACAGCAATTTTACTGTCTTTATTACCACAGCTGCGTGTCAGTACAATTATAAAAGAAGACGCTTCAATCTCGGTTTGTGGACGTTAAATCAGGTTTATTTTGTACATTAACATAACAGATATCCATCCAGCAGTGGATATTAACGTGTATCCTCTCACATCTGCCGTGCAAAAACAGTGCAAAGTTAAACACGCGCACTGTGTGTGTGAGTGTGAACTTTGTAATAACAGTGTGTAACTCCACAACAAATACATCAAATAATTATTGGGAAAGTTCTTACTGTTGTATTTCTTACAAACGTTACGTTATTTGACGCAGGCGAGACGGAGATTGAGGCACACTCTGACAGGCATGTGGGAACTACATTGTGTTCAGAGCAAAAAATCCAATATTCTAAAAAGTATATTAAATAATCTGGTGGGTGTTTTGAGCTGAAACTTTACAGACACATTCTAGAGAAACAAAAGACTTAACTTAAATCTTAAAAAAGGGGTAAAATAGGTGAATGTAAGAATAAGAAAAGCATTTTTTGTTATTACTATACTTGACTAATGTTAGACACCCCAGAATACTGCCAAATAGAGCTATTCATCTTGTGAAACTGTATTCATATCGCAATAGCTATCGCAGAAAAATAAAACATCACAATTGCAGATTTTTCTAATATTGTGAAGCCCTAATAAGAATTATTAGCCCCCCGGAATTATCCCCCCTGTTAATTTTTTTCCCAATTTCTGTTTAACAAAGAGATTTTTTTCAAAACACTTCTAAACATAAGTTTTAATAGGTCATTTCTAATAACTGATAAATAATATTTTATATTTGCCATGAAGACATTTTTCAAGACACTTCTTTACACTTTAAAGTAACATCAAAGCTTAACTAGGTTAATTAGGTTAACTAGGCAGGTTAGGGTAGTTAGGCAAGTTATTGTATGATGATGAATTTTTCTGTAGAAAAAAATAGCTTAAAGGGGCTAATTATTTTGTCCCTAAAATGGTATTTAAAAAAAATAAAACTGCTTTTATTCTAGCCAAAATAAAACAAATAAGACTTTCTCCAGAAGGAAAATATTAAATGTTAGTGAAAATTACCCTGCTCTGTTAAACATAATTTGGAAAACATTTTAAAAAGAAAAAAAAAAAAAATCAAAGGGGGGCTAATAATTCTGACTTCAACTGTATATAATACCTGATTTTTGGAATCTGATTAATTAATCGAGATAACAAATAATCTGTAATACCACCAAAGTCAGATTTTCTACATATCTGGAGTACAAATATAAGAGTGAATGTGTGTAGTTTATGTGTAGGCTTATACCCATGTCATTTTACATATTTGTATCCTCATAATTTGGACAAAAGTATCATTTATAACCCAAGCAATTACTTTTTCTTTTTAACTTCTCCTCTCTCAGTAGCAGTTGATGGCCAGTATACTCACTGGATAATTATTTAGAGAAGGGGTTCCATGGTACTTCCATGGTATCATGTTTTTAAACGATTCATTTATATAAATGCCAAAGTGAAATGTCAGATGTCTCTGTGAGTTTATGCTGCCAATTAATATAAAAATATGCTAAATTCTACAGCATTTTAAGATTAGCCTATGTATGTTTTCCCAGGTCATTCCTCCAGTCTGTTCTTCTTACGGTATGTAAACTCCTAACTGGTTTTCACTAATGATCAAACTCCAGCAAGCTTTTCCCAGTGGAGCTGAGTGCGCTCGGTCACGCGCGCTGCACTATGCTGACTCCACATTCTGCACAGCTCCACTCACTTCAGCTCTGCCCTGGAACTCGCAGATCCGCAATTCACTCAACAACTCTAAAAATTAGTTTGCGCATGGCACTGCAATCACATTTCAGCACATTTATTTCCAGATCCAAGAGTTTGACTGACAAGAAAAAGGCTCGTACCAGACTTTCCACTTCAAAAATGTTATCGAGACGTTTCTCACAGCCATAAAAGAAACAGAACGCAACACAGCTTTCCTTGAAACTATCACGCAAACAGCGTAACTCAACCTGAAACAAGGTAGTGTCACATAGCCCAAAAATGCCCGTTTAACATCTGACTCGAATTCTAGAACAAACTCTCGCATTCTAATAACGAATGCTGACTTCAAACAATACGTGTATAACATTACAAACATTCTACAGAGTTCTAAAAACATCACACGTTCTACACAAGTGTAAATACATTCAAATTCAAACACGTGAGTCCTGAGAATACTTACAGTTACTTTACGAAGATTATCTCAGTAAGTAGCCTATAGCGTTGTTCTTTACATCTTTGACAGTCCGTTGGGGGGCTCAAAGACAATTTGGCAACAGTTTTCAGCGTCGGTGGCTCTTCACAGAGGGTGCAGCCCCTCGCGCTGCGCTCAGGCGGGTTTGAACGGTCGCTGGGAAACGCGCCATTGTGACTGAACACAAAGCGGGGGCCCGGGAGGGCTGGAGGTGAGGCCGCCGTCGCGCTTAAATCGGCATTAATATATTGTTGCTGCGTTGCCAAGCGATTCTGAACACTTGATAAACTTGATAGATGGCACTCACGACCAGGACTGACATTTGTAAAACATCAGCACAGGAGGAGTAAGGAACGTTTGTCTATATTTTAGACGAAAGATCTGCACTTGAAAGCGCGGGAAGTTCAGAAGAGAGTATAAAAGAGCCGGCTGAGAGACCTTCAGGGCATTTCCTGCAGGCCCTCGAGGTCTGTAGGCAGTTCAAAGCATTCTCGTTCAGTTTAAAGGGCAAATTCAGAACAACATTTCTTTGATAGGTGCAGCCATGGGCAAAATTACAGTGAGTAGTTGCAGAAAATATCAAATGGAGGTCTGATGCTGTATGTCTGAAGGAGGAGCAGGAGGGAGGAGATGAGATTTGCATAGGAGGCAAGCCAATTCTAGTTAAGATGGTAAACTTTATAGATGTGGACGGGTGAAGGTCAGAGTTCATGACCTGTTAATGACTTAGCCGGGAGACCAGACAGAGGAAGAGGTCTGCTTTGTGCTTAGACATGTGGGAACAGAAAATATTTTAAAAGGCAAGACTAAACCGTTATAGACAAATAATTGACAATGAGAGTCTGTCAGTCTGGACCTTTCAAAAGTCTGATGTTCTGGGTTGATATGCTTATATTTTACTCCATTTAAAGCGAGACAAATAGTGCAGTAAACAGCAAAACTGCTTGTGCTACAAACCAGTGGGCTATCTTTAAGACAATGTTTTATAATAAGCAGCAAAAAAAATAATTCAGTTCAAGGCACTCAAAAAATGTGTCTTAAAAATCATTTACTTTATTATTGCAAACTAATATTTTTACCAAATTATCAAAAATTGAAAATCAAACAAAACGTGCTCAGGGGTAGCATAACCCTCTACTGCATGGTGTTGCCATATGGCAGCATGATATGTATATTCATTTCCCTGCCAGGCTGCCACCACTGTTGTATCTTCTTTAAGACCAACGTTCTACATTTTTTTGTTGAAAAGACAAGACCTTAGTTTAGCCAATGATATGCTTTGGTTAAGTCACATGACATGCTGTGTTTTTCTGACAGACTGGTGTTTGAGAGAAACATTAATTGCTGAATGCAAATGTAATCGTCAATAAAACAAAGAAACAAATTATGTCTGATACACAAAAAAATCTGAGACATCACCTTCAGTAAGTTATAATGACATGTTAACAACTCAAAAAAGTTTTTTTTTAACAAATTAGTAAAAAAAAAAAAACTAAGTGTATGTGTTGCCATGTATATCAATAATATTCTGCAAAAAAAAAAAGGATTAAATAAAAGCTGTTGGAATATCAGTTGCTGGAAAGGTGTCATTTATAAGTTCTGTGTTAAAGTATAATACTGCAACACCAATTAAATTATTTCAAACAACGAAATAATTAATTATAAGGAAAGTTCTAAATTTTAAATTTCTAAGTTAGATCCACTATTCGACATTGTTGCCATATGGCAACATATCATAATTTTTTTTTTTTACAGCACTTCAAGAAAACAGTCAATATATATTTTATAGATGTATTATAATACGTGCATTAGAGGATTAAATAATGTGTTGGTGCAAAATCAGTCCAAGGCACTCGAAAAATGTGGAAAAATATTATTAAAATAGCTTTTAAATATCTAGTGTCTTAGACTGATTTTTGCTTTTAATTCTGATGAATCCCTTAACCAAAGAGCACCAACACACCATTTAAGCTAGCCCTGAGCACTTTATGTTTGATATTAAATGTTTGATAATAATTTGGCAAAAATACCAGTTTGCAGTATTAAAGTAAATAAGTGTCATGTAAGAACTGCACACGCTCTTGTGAAAACAAGAATTGATTTGATGGGGGGAAAAATCCACACGTTTGTTTCTTTTCAAATCATGTTTTTATTCCTAATATTAGATGTAGATACACAAGTCAACAAACAAGTCTTTGTTGTTTAGATCAGTAATGAAAAATGCTCCACAGCACACTTGCCCCCAAGTGGCGGGGTTTGGTATTACAGACGAGAAACTCAGCAGGAATAGGCTGCAGTTTTACACGAGGTGCAGTTGCAACAGTAGTAGTATTAATAATGATAATAGCAATATTAATAATGACTTTTATATAATAATAACAATAATAACAACAGATAATAGTAGTGATATTAACAACCGAGGTTTAAAATCATGAGTGGGATCAACATTCTTTAATAAATGGTCGTTTTCATGGGCTTGGTGGGATTCTTTTTTGAAGACGCATTAAAATGTAGTCAAATATACTACTATTGGATGAAGAAATGGAGAAAAATATGATCAGTACTCTGAAGACACGCTCACTTTTACCGGGAGGAGTTTCCTCCAACTGAATTCACTGTATTGCATTAAAACTAGATTCAATTTCCCTATAGTTTCCTCACCAGTCCACTGAAATTTACACAGACTCAATTACCTAGATGCTGTAATGTAACTGACCATCAAAGCAAAACTGGGTTAAAACAAAGCACACTAGAAAGAGTAAAAATGTGAGAGAAAGAAAACGTTGCTCTTATATCAAGCAACTGGAATAAAAAGAAACAGCACAAACTTGAAAGATTGCAATCCAATAATGCAACACAATCTCTGGAAGCAGTTTAGCACACAGTCCCAAACCGTATGTGTAGGCGAAGACTAACTGAATCATTATACAGCTGTTTTTGACAGTAATCTGAAGGCCTACAACTAGATCATCCTTTGATCATCCAGTGTTTTTATCCATTAGGATGGAGAACATCAGGCTGGCGGTCCAGCGAATGACCTCCTAAGTATTCATAAGTTTCAGTGACATTGTCCAATCGCTGAAATCCAGAAAGGCTGTCGTTTTGTGGGCTGGACAGGGTTTGGTAGAGAGTCTGCATCATTTTCCTTCACATCAAACATCACAGCAATGATAAGAGGAGAAAAAAAATAAATCAACTTTCGGTTTTCTGCGTCTTCATGTTGCCCCATACATGCGTCTCCAAAGGAAATGCAGAGATGAATGACATTAGAGTGGACATGGTTCAATACTCCACACACCTCAGAGGAAGGGGCTTCATTGTATGACGTCAAATGAAAACGTAAAACTCACGCTAATATCACACCAAGGCAAGCTTTCGCACAATCGTATGAGGCTGAAAAAATCTTTATCCTACAAAAATACTGATTTCATGCCACAGTGGGTACACTTGTTACCAATACATCATGCATTTAACTGCAAAACTATATCTGAAATCATGTCTGCTAGGTTGCCATTGAGTCTGCCTCTGTGTCTACTTGTGGGACAGGAGTTTGTTATCGCCTGCTGACTGCAAGTATAGAACTACAATTATAGAAGTATGCAGTAAAAATTTCACATTCCTCCAAGGAAGATAATTTACTTGTGATTTACACATAAAGGAAACAAATTATCTCAAATCACCATGAGTGGGGGGATAACTGCTGATTTGGTCCACATTAAGAATACCTCAGTAATATCATTCAGAGTTGAAGCACATTCACAACCGATATACCTGAAAGCAACTTCTTCTGAGAACACACACACGTGCACACACACTCTCTCACTCACACACACACATCTAAAAATACAGCATCAACCTCAAGAAGCATCACTGACACTAAACCCAACTTCAGCTGTCAAGACAGAGGTGCATCCCTGTAAAATATTTAGAGTTAGGATTGAGGAAAACATGCCTGCACGCGTGCCTGCAGGTGTGTGAATGGGAAATCTGAAGCCTGAGAATACATTCCAATAGGAAACTTGGTCAATTACATCTTCAAATTAAAGTTACAAGAAAGCAAAGATATTTCTGCTCATCTTCAAATTATTTTTGAACACGAGTTTAATGTTTGGCTTGTGCAAGCGATTCTTGTGTTGTGTCTGTTTGCTTTTGAGCAATTATAAAACTAAAAGGTCAAACCACAGCATCACACCTCAATTTCAATCTTCACAACAAACACTTGTTTTTTTTTTACCTGGTCTAAGAACAGAACAAGATAAAGTAGTTAAAGGAACTTGATGAACTAAAGAAATAAGCCACACAATAAGAATGCATACTCAAAAATCTCCTAACAGGAGTGAAGGAGAGAAAGAGATAAAAGATTAAAAATAAAACCACCATAAATATTCTTTTTAACTTTTCTTGAACTAAGTCAAAAAAAAAAGAAAGGATAAAGCATTCAACAGTCAAATATAGAAAAACGAAATGCAAAGGAAAAAAATCTTTCTGTCAGAAACGCGTGTAGATGAAAGGAAAAAGACCAGCATGAACTCCCACCTCTGACTTATGGGCTTCTTTCTGTTTTGTCCTCTCTGAACATTAATTTAAACCAACAATACTTACATTTTCTTTAAATATTCAACTTTAAATTGACTCAAAATTGCAACAGCAAAAAAAAAATGCAATTAAACCTATAGTTTAAAAAAAAATGGACTGCGGTCCTTCACAAAGAAAATGAGAGGCTGGAATTTAAGACAAGAAAAGGAAATTGTGAGAGCAGGGGGAAGACAAAAAGCACTCTTGGTCATTACAGCATGGATACGCCATCAAACCCACAGATAAAATGATTTCTAAGGGGAAAAGTTAAAAAGAAACTAGTCAAATTGAAGGGTATGAGCTGATCATTCGGGGTGGCTTTTGGTCTCGATCAGAAACGCCATACTGTGGGCTCAGAGCTCAACGTCTGGGCAAACGTTGTCATCAATCTAGGAGGTGAGATTGATCAAGATCCACCGGTAAAATGGCGCAGTTTTTAAAAAAGAGTGGAAGAAAAAGAAAGGGCAAAACAACAACAACAAAAAAATGTATCAATGGAAAGTTTTCTTTGCCTTTTCGAACTATCAGTTTCTTTTGAGTGTTGACAAACTTCCAACTCCTGCTTGGCTCACTTTGGAGATCCGTGGCGTTTTTTGGATGGCTATTTCTTCTTGCCGAAGAAACTGAAGCGCTTCTCGCGGTCTCTCTCTTTGCCGTCTTTGTTGCGCATGGTTACTCCTCCGGCCTCGCCTGAGCTGGGAGACATGGGCGGCATGGTCATTGCTCGACTCAGACCTCGGGAGGCACCTGGCGAACGCTCGCTGGACGACATGGAGGACTGGATGGCTCGAATCCATGAACTCATCTCAGCCTGAGGTAGAAAACATAAATTGTCAAAAGATGAGAGTTTAACAGGATGCCTGAAGTCTCAGTTTAATCCTACATAAAAATTCTAGTGGTGTAACGGATCTCAAATCTCATGGTTCAGATCACTCTACGGTTTTTCAGTCATGGGTCGCACCATTTTTCACATCATCAAAAAAGGGAGGAGACAAATGTCAGCTGCTTTCCATTTATACAAAAATATTACTGCAAAAACCATTGGTTTTAACATACAGAACTTGTAATTTTAATAAAAATAAAGATAGAACCAGCTGAAAGAAAAGGAAAATATATAAAGAAAAATAAAAGTGGAAAAACTGAATCTCTCTCAATCAAAAGCAGATTTGAATGCAGCACTTATAAGGATTTATAAACATATGCAAATCAGTATCATTTATCATTCATGTTAAGAGGATTTAAATTAAGATCACAATCTTTTAATGCTTAATTGTGCAGCTTTACAATGAATGCATTAATGCAGGCTTAACAAACAGTGTCTGTCTTTGAGTGGCTTTACATTCTTTACATTGAGTGCTTCCCAATTTTAACTCCTTTAAACCAAACACGTATGTTTCCACTGCAATATTTCACTGAACCACTATTTACTGGTGATTTACAATGGTGCCGTGACCCGGATGGAAGTGAGGTTTAGGGTACAAAACAGGTCACCAAGCATGTGTTACATGTGCATTAAAGGTCACCAAGCCCAGAGAGCCTCACATGCTGACTCTTTTTAAGAGAGAATCAAAATCCAGGCAGATGCCATAAGCGGACAGACCATTAGCAGAGCTATCAGGCTGAGCGGATTCAGACTAGACCTGCATTTGGCGAGTGCAGACTTAAAACATTAAAGCTATCATTACAATTCACACCTGGATAACCAAGCTTT